TAAAGATTTACAGCCTCAGAAACCCTGTGCAGGGTGGCTATGGGTCCAAACCAACTCCATGGCACATCATCACCACCACCATAGCAACCCTTCAGTCTTGGAAAACCCTCTGGGGCAAGCAGTTCTACTCTGTTCTACAAGACTATCATGAGTCTGAATGGACTCGACAGGTACCTTTGGTTTCTTAAAAGTCTTGGAGGTGGGAGCCCACTGCATCCAGTGAGGCAGGAGTTGTAATTTGGCACTCTTGGAGTTCCTGTAGACTACATACAGATAGTTTTGTTTAGTTTGTTTGCTTTTTAAAGCAAGACATCTCTCATGAAAATCTGGCTTCTAGTGATGGCTTATGTTCCCACTGGGCAACAATTGGCTAGAACCGAGACAGCCTTTGTCTTTAGTCAAGGTTTAGCCTGGTCTTCATCTGGATCATTAAATTTTCTGGAAAGCTTCTGACCCTTGGATCACAGTCTTCTAAATCCTTCTAGACTGGAACCCTACTTTATAATTTTCTTTTCTTGGTCTTTAATATCAAGGTTTGACTATGTTTCTCCCTTGTGTAAAACCTTTTACCCATCCCAGAACAGTTGCTTCACTGAAGCCCCAAGAGGTGTTCCAGGTTATCCAGAACCTGGCATCTGAGGTTCTTTGTGGTCTGATCCTAATAAAATCCCAAGAGGTGGGCAGAGAGTTTGTAAAATTATAGATGGAGGGATGGATGGGTGGGTGGGTGGGTGGATGGAATGAGTCTAGACTGGGTACTTGGGAGAAAGATGATAGCTCTTATAAGGCTTTCATAGTATAGCCAGAAAAGGCCCTATGAGTATCCAGAATTCTATGTCTCCATCATACAACCAGATGTGATCGCCTTTGGAATTGGAGCTCGGTGGGGGAGAAAGAAGAGCCCTCTTGGAAGAAGTAAGTGACCAGATGGCTCAAAGACCAACTCTTTCTGATTCAGGTTCCTAATTGGACAGGACACCATGCATCTCTTTGGTCCCTCGCTCCTGTTCCTTGGTAAGGACATGGCCTGAGTTGCTACTTGAATTTGGGGATGGCAGTGGGAAGGAAAGACCTGGGACAACAAAGAGTAAATGTAGGATAGGCAGGGATGTAGGACAGATTAAATATGTTCAGATATCCCTGAGTTATGGAAGAGATCCATCCTTGTGTGTCTTTAAGTAAAATTGGCAGGTAAGTTGAAACAGGTGCATAGAGTTCTCATTTAGCCTTACTTCAGTGCAAGAAAAGGCTTGACGTCTTTCCAACGATTTAAAAGCTACATGTGCGTTAAGTAAAGATGACTGTAATGAAGAATTTGTGGTGAGCAGAGGTTGGTTCAATCATTTCAAAGTGAGGGCAAATGTACATAGCATTAAAGGGTCAGTAAAAGTTGGCCCTAAGTCCTCCAAAAATAACCAGGGATTGCCGGTACATCTCTTTTTGTGTCTTATTCTTGTTGCATATCTCCCTCTTTCTCCCTCGATCCTTAGAGGGCCTTCTTTATACCTTTGAAAACCTTCTATGCCCTGCAATAATGCTTTCTGATCATTGTGATGGGTTCCAGAATACTTGGCTTTCTCTGACTCAGCGTCATGGAAATTTTACCATCCTCACACCCTCTACTCCTGGGAAGGTGCTTGTATGTGGATTCCCTGCCGCTATACAGCCTCACATACCGTGACATCCATGGACGTGTACCACAATTATCTTTTTAACAAAACCACCAAGAACTTTATGGGAACCATACTTTATAAGTCCCCAAGCATTCTTTACGAAGAGAGAGTACAGTTCCTGGGGAACACCGAAAATAACTGCACTCTGAGAATCCAGCCAGTGCATGCCAATGACAGCGGTCAACTGGGACTGAGGATGACATCAAGTAATGACAGATGGATGGAGAATATCAACCTCAATGTCTCTGGTAAGACTTAGGGGAAGAGGACCTGTCTCAGCAGGGCAAGGTGGGAGATGGGATATAGCTTTTCCTGGAATAAAGGTAATAGAGATGCTTGTGGAAGGCAGCCGCTGTGGAAACCTGTAACATGGGCTCTTGCACCTCAGAGGGGACACTTCCCCTTAGTACCTGCTCATTCTGGCACATAGGAATCTAGATCCTGATTTTTCCAGGGAAGCTGGAAAGAAAGATTTTCAAGTGAAATCTCCCCAAAGTCTTAATGTTTATGACTCATTTAATTTTGTATTAGCCTTTGCATGGGCTGAATGACATACCTGTAGGGGTTTGATGTGACTCATTGCACATAAGTCTGGGGCCTCTACCCTAGGCAGAGTCTGGTTACTTTAGTCCAAGCCTACATACAAGTCTAAGCAGCTCTCCATCTACAGTGAAACAAACAGCTTCAGAGCTGTGACCGCACACAGACCTGTTCGTCCGTCTACAGGATTTCTGTGCTTGCCTATCTCCTATACAGTGACCACTGAACAAGTGTGTCATTCAAGCTAAGAAATGCAGTCTGAACAAAACCAACAGGCTTCACTTAGGGCACATTGGGGAGCAAACTTGAGGACATTTAGGAAGCCACTATCAGAATCTGAGTATAAAATAAGCATGAAATATTATTCCAAAGGAGGCTGAGCATCTGCAAGACTGTCCGGAGAGTATTTCAGTTGAGCAGAAGGGATCCCAAGCAGAGAGAGGCAGGGCTGGAAAGAGGTAGCAGGGACTGGCCAAGGGTTCCTCAGGGTGGGTATTTAGAACAGGGTTTTCCGGGTCCCTATCAAGATCCCAACTCTTTTGCAGAAAGACCCCCTCCACCTCACATCCAGCTCCCCATGGAAATCCAAGAACTTCAAGAAGTCACTTTAATTTGCAAGCTGAATTTTTTTTGCCCCAACTACCCGGTCCAGTTGCAGTGGTCAATGGATAAGCCAGCGGTTACCTCAACCAACCCAGGCCCCGAGACTGTCTCCATAGAGAGCAGGCTCACGTTCCAGCCAGAGTGGACTCACCATGGAAAGAATCTGACCTGTCAGCTCAAGGATCTCCAAACAGAGAAGGTCCTCTCGCAGGAAACGGTGTGGCTCGATGTGAAGCGTGAGTCTACCCAGTTCTCCTGAGACAAAAGATCAAGTCCCTGTCACCTTCTCCCCAGGCCCTGCATCGCAGTAGTGGTATTTGTACTGTTGAGTAGGTTCGGATTCATGATGCCCCTGTAAGGTTTCCGGGGCTGCAAATCTTTATGGGAACAGAAAGCCTCATCTTTCTCCCATAGAATGACTAGTGGATTTGAACTGATGACTTTGTGGTTAGCAGCCCAACACATAACCCATGCACCACCAGAGCTCCTTCAGTCCCTCAGTAGTACTGAGAATAACAGAAAGATGATCAGCAGTGGTCACCTCAGCTGGGGATGACCCCGGCAAAACTTCCTTACTTCTTCCATCATCCCTGTTGTAGACCCCAAGTGTTCCAAGTCACAGATTCATTTTAACATCTGTGTTGGCCTAACAGAATAAATTGATTTAGTCCACTCCCAAGACACAACATAATTTTGGGATTATCTCTTTAGCTCCTCACCACCCTCCTCACCTCCCCAAGTAAATTTTCCACGTTGTTATTATTCACATAGGTGTCCCATCCATTCGTTCAATGAATATTCATTACACATTTATTAGACTTGAGGCCCTGCTACAGCTGCTGGTATAGTACAACAGTGAGAAACCAGAACAAATTCTTGCCCACATGGAGTTAGTATAACAGCGAGAGAGACAAACAGTAAATAGATTTAAAAACAACAACAACAAAAAATAGAGGCTATAATGCTAATTATGTGAATGTATTACTGGAGTCCTATTGTGGTGCTGTGGGATAAGCACTTGGCTGCTAACCACAAGGTCAGGGGTTCAAACCCACCAATCACTCCTCAGAAACCCTATACAGGGTCACTATGAGTCCAAATCAACTCAACAGCATTTAACAACAGCAACAACAATGTGAATGTATTCAGAAAAAGAAAAACCCAAGCAGGTTTAGGATAGAGAAGTGATGAGTGAAGATCTCTCTGAGGGAGAGAAACATTTGAACTGAGACCTGAATGAATGGAGAAATGGTGGTGATGTGCCGTGGAGTCGGTTCTGACTCATAGCGAGTCTATACAAGGTTTCCAAGGCTGTAAATCTTTGCAGGAGCAGAAAGCCTCATCTTTCTCCTGCAGAATGGCTGGTAGTTTCAAACTGCTTACCTTAAGGTTAGCAGCCCAACTCGTAACCACTATGCTACCAGAGCTCCTTTGGAGAAACAGAGGCAGATAAATTTTCGAGATGAGCATTCCAGGAAGTGATAAGTGCAAAGGCCCTGTGGTGGGAATTTGCTTGTTGTGTTCGTGGCAGAGCAAACAAGCCACAGAGGCTGAAAGAGAGTACATTCCAGGACCCAAGTGACGAAGGAGTAATCCTGAGAGGGGCTGGAACACTAGATCACATGGGCTGTGGTAAGAGTCTTGGATCTTATTCTAAATGTGAAATCCATGGAATGGTTTTGAGCAGGGAGTGACAAGATCTGGTTGGCACTGTAAGGAATCCTTCTGGCTGCTGGTACAGCCCAGTCTGTAGGGGAAGAGAGAAAGCAGAAACCAGTTGGGAGACTATGACAAGGGTGACAGTGAGTGACTATATACACACACATGCACATGTAGACCACTGCTTAATCAGCAGAAAAACACTGCCCCTTCTTACTTCCTTCTACTCTGAGAATGTCCCCACTGGCCCTCTGCTCCTGCAGACATCCCGATGTTGAAGATCGAGGTCAGCCCTAGAGACGCCATTGTAACAGTGGGGGAATCTGTGACCATGGAATGCCACATCATCAGCAGCAACCCGGAGTACCGAACTATATTCTGGTTCAAGGACAGGACCCGGCTAAAGAATCAGGAGACAACCACACTAACTCTGTCCTCAGTGACCAAGACGGAGAGTGGAAACTACCACTGTCAGGTTTCCAATGATAAGGGCTCAAGAGATTCAGAAGAAGTGCATCTTCAAGTGCAGTGTGAGCCTCCCAGGAACAGGGGAGAGGGCAGGCAAGGAGTTGGGTGTGGAGGAGGGAGGCAAAGCCCAAGCCCTTGACAGGTAAACCACAGGTCCTTTCCTCACCTTCCCCTGCAACTTCTTTCAGTTGCTCCAGAACCTTCCAGTGTTCAGATCCGCCCCTTGTTGGCTAAGGAGGGAAATCCAGTGCAGCTGACTTGTATTTCACTAGCCAATCCTCCTCCGACAAATTACACCTGGTATTTCAATGGAAAAGAAATTCTGGGAAAGACAAAAAGCAATTTCCAAATCCCAAAGGTTCTCCCCCAGCATGCTGGGAAGTATTCCTGCTTGGCAGAAAACAGTCTTGGTCTTGGACAGATTGACCAGGAAGCTGAATTGGATGTACAATGTGAGTAGTCACAGTACTTCAGTTCTAAGGGGAAGGGGCAGAAGTAGTGGGGAGGATAAAATAGGTACCTGGGCTCGTCAGTAAGAAGCCAGGGTCTCCAAACATGTAAGTTGCTTGGGGCAGGTGTTTTCTTTTCTCACAGTGGTATTCCTAGCACCTCGAATGGGGTCTGGCTTGTGGTAAGTTTCCAGTAGATTTTGGCTGAATGGATAAATGGCGAGATGCCTAGACTCCACAAGGAACACAGAGCTTAGCATCACTAAACATTCGCTGAGTCTCAGAAAGGATACTGAAGTTTTCAGGAGATAGCTGGGAAAAACTGTCTCATTACATCATTGGACCTTCTTCAATTCAGTGACCCTTAGCAGACAAACAGAATCTATAGTTTGATCCTCAGACTCAGATGTCATGGTCTGAGCACTGATGGGGATTCTCAAATCCTGGACATCTAGATATAAAATCACAGCATCAGCAGCTAACATCTTAGAGTGTTTGCTATGTACCAGGAGTCCTGGTGTGGCTCTGCGAGCTAATGTGTTGGTTTGAACCACAAGGTCAGCAGTTCAAGCTCACCAGCCGCTCCTCGGAAACTCTACACAGGGTCACTATGGGTTGGAACCGGCTTGAAGGCACTTAACAACAACTATGTACCATGCTCTGATTTTATTTTATGTTTGCAACAGTACTGTGAGTGAGGTGCTCTTAGGAGTAAACTAAGTGGCAGAGTTGGCTCCAGAGCTGTGCTCCAAATGACTAAAGCATCAGGACTCAAATGACAGCAAAGGGCCAGGGGAAGGGACCTGTCCTCACACAAATGCAAGCGGGAAGCCTTAGCCTTCCTTTGATTCATTTAGGAGTTGTCGGAATTAAGGGGGCAGGTGGGAGAGGAAGAGGAAGCAGGAAGGAAAACGTATTATGGATACCTGGCTTGTCTTCACCGATCTCTCTGTCCCCTCTCCTCCCCCCACAGATCCTCCCAAAGGGGTGACCATGGCGATTCAGAATCCTACACCAATTAGAGAAGGAGATGATGTGATCCTGGTTTGTAACTACAATTCTAGTAACCCTAGAGTTACCAGATATGAATGGACACCCCAAGTCTCCAAGAATGAGTCATTCCCTGAGGTGCTGATGATTAGAAAAGTTGCCTGGGATGTAAGAGCAATCACCTGCCGAGTCTGTAACACCTGGTGTTCAGAGGCTGTCTCTGTCAACCTGAATGTGCAGTGTGAGTCACCTGGGCAGGGGATCTGGGAGGCGGTAACTCAGTTGGGACATGAGGACCTAAGGGTCAGGAGCCTGGAGCCTGGACCAGAGTTCTCTCAGCGAACTAAGGGAAGTTGTTGTTGTTGTTAAGTGCCGTCGAGTCGGTTCCGACCCATAGCGACCCTGAACAGGGTTTCCGAGGCTGTAAATCTTTACGGGAGCAGAAAGC